AAAAAAAAAAAAACGGTTTCTACGTAAATTAAAAATAACAAACTGTCTTTATTCTGTTCAGAAAAGCTGTAGTTATATTGGTATATTATGTTAAAATTATTTATGAAATTATGTTCAGATGTTCTACTTCATATAATTCGTAATTTCAATTTGTATTTTATTTAATGTGCGTGTTACGCATTGAAATATTATGTAATATTAAATATTAAATAAATGCACGGACATATTTTGTATTTATATATGCAATTTTGAACAGAAAATAATCATTTGATATATTATAGTTAATATTATTATTAAATTGTGTGTTTCCAGTGTTTAGAAAATTTCTTTTAAAATGTAATGTATTTCCATATGTTAATTTCGTGATGAATACATTCACATACACATTTATCAACATTGTAGGCAAATACAGTATACTAGAGTTGATGGTTTTATCGGTAAACCAGCATACCAGTACCTGATTGCTGAAATACCGATTGAACAGTATACCGTAACTCCGTAATACCATAATACAACTTAATACCACAACACCGTATAATACCGCAAAATACCGTATAATAACACCGTACTAAATACATTTATTTAGAAGAAACAAATTTTATTAAAACAAAAAAAAAAATATATTATTTACCTAGTGTAATTTTTATTTTATATACGACCGCGATAAATGAAATTTGAATGTATTTAATTTTACAATTGTAAAATTATTTAAATTAATACATCAAGCTTCGGACGGATTTTTGTTTTGCCCATTACAATTATTGTTGTATTTACCCTTATAGATATAATTCAATTACTGATATTTGTTTTTGAGTTTATACAGATAAATATATTACAATAAATAGAAATAGTAGCTGTAGGTATAAACCTGATATAAATTTATTTTATACATACCAACTATAAGCCATTTGATACCGCTTGAATTTTCGTTATGAGACTATGATTAAAAATGTTACTTTTTGCAATGCTGTCATTAGAATGGCGTGCAACCATCCGCAATTCGACTATAAAAACAGAGTTACGTGAACATGAACTACTCGGAATTAAGACCTAATTTAGAATGAAACTAAATTTTCACAATAAAAAACAAAGAACTTACACTGTTTGTTTTAGGTTTTTTTTTTTATCACAAATAAAAATAAAATGATTATTGTTCTAATATCTTGTAATTTCAAATTGTTCAAGCTCGAATTACTATTTTCGTTGTATTGATATTGAAAAACTAAAACTATTCAACAATCTTTGGTTAATTAGTTAAATCTATAGTGTAAGCATTTTTTACTTACCTGTGCGAAACGATTTATTCGTAAACACTTTTGTACATTTCATAGTTACATAACAAATACTTGGGATAATTATTTGGGACTACTTGTAATTGTATTTGAAAGTGAATTTGAATATTACTGCGATTTTATTTTTTCAAAAATGTCGAGAGAATTGCATATACTTTAAATACGGATGTAACACACTCTCTTAAAACGGAATGCGAATTTTTCATTAAATTAAATGTATTTACATTCACTTTATTGCATATATTGTATTGTAAATAATTAAAAGACAATATTAACTAACTATATTTAACTATAAATTGAGAAAGAAAAAAATATTAATTGGTACTCAAATATTGTACTAAAATATTCGAAGCCGTTGAAGGTACTAAACTAATTGTAAACACATACATTTATTATATTCACTCGAGTATATGTTGATGTTCATTACAAATTATTGAAGATAATCACTGGCTATACAGCAGTAGGTAAAATTTTATTTTAATTGTGATTACTTACCATGTGAATAATTTGGAAATATTATACGTATATCTTTGTTGTTTCAATTATTTATTTTGTCTTCTCGAAAGTCACATAATAAAAATACAAATTCTTGCAGGTGCATAAAAAATTTTCTTTTTTGGAACGTGATCTCGTTTGTTTGAGTTAATAATAATAACAATATTACAACCCGGAATAACGTAGCATTATAATATTACCATTGAATATACATTGTTTTATAAATAATATTTAGATGACCGGCTGTACTGTTATAATATAATGCTACCTGTTAGTTTTTATATACCTACTAATAATTCAAAGCGAAAACTCATAAAGTACGTGAACTTACTTGCGGATATATACTTTATGCAAAAACAGATTTTTATAAGTTACTATTAAAATATTTAAAACTCCATCATGTTGTTCAAGAGTTTCATTTCAACAATTCAGATAAAACAAAAAAAAAAAAAAAAAAATGATTAATGGACGGTTTTTTGTTTATATCATAATCCATCAACGGTCTTTTCAATAATATAATAAAATTGTACACCATAAATTTAGTCATGAATACACGGTGTCGTTTTGTATTGTTAATTTTTTTTTCTATCTAGCTAACAATGATGAAATTATTTAATGTTTACATAAGAAACAATTAATAATTATTGTATTATGAAATATTATTATTGTTATTATCGTAGAGGAAAATGACCTGAAAATAGGTATTATGATACCTGAATTAAAACATTTATTTTTTTTTTAACGATATTTTAACATAAAAATTAATGTTCAAATATTCGAAATATTACGAAATGTTCTAATATTTCATACTAAATCAAAGTTTTGGCTAAAATGTTTAAGACTTAAAGGAGAATGATTTGAAGTAAAACATTTTCTATTACACCTTTATCCACAGAAAATAACGACGTATAGTAATACTGGTGTTCACATACTAAACTAATGTAATTTAAAATTGGTATTAACATCATGCATCAATACTACAACACCTTTATTTACAAACAGAAACTACAAATTATAATATGTAATAAAACAACTTTGTTAATTAAATATAGTATGGTTTTTGGTCCGAGATTTCGTATACATCTATAGTACGTCAAAATAAACTGATTTACGAAATAATATATATTTTAAAAAATGATTGATCCATTGATACCTCTTCATTTATTCTACTAGCATAATCCATATATTCGAGGAGCAATACATAGCAGACTATTTATTTTTAGCACGTACAGTACGTCTATTACTACAATTTGTTTTATTTTTTTTATTTTTTTTTCGTAAAGTCAATATGATAACTTGTTGTCCCGTCATATCTTTTTAGTCTTATCCAGCTCATCCGTTACGGTAGTACAAATATATGTATATATTGAAGTACCTATATTTTATACCAAATTATTTACAAACACAAACAATTTATGTAACAACAAAAATAACTCACATTTTTTATAATTTCGTTTATTTGTTAAGTTAAATGATATTTCGTGAGACGGATTTCAAAATTTTACCAAACAAAAGAAATAACGAATATATATCCAATGACAATATTATATAAATGTTTTTTCTGGTTGTTATGCCGATCAAGCCAGTATACGTTGTCGGTGTTTTGTACACCATTTGTCACTACGTTCCTCGTACAGCCGATACTATTCATAGGTAGATCACTGTTGTAGGTAAGAAGTTAGGATGTACCTACATAGCATGATTTTGTTTTATAATACATGTAAGCAACAATAAATTATTTCCAACAGAAAACGATTCTGCAAAGTTCGGTTAACTGTGTTTTGATAAATTCAAATTAAAAATTAAATTGTAACTAAGCACAAAATAAATTACAAGTGCCCACGTTTTTTTCTTCTCAAATATTTTAGCGTTTATGTTAAGTTAAAAAAGATTCATCCAATCGTAAATTAGAAAATAGTACGTGAAACCTTATATTTAATCTTTTAATCTTTTTAATCTAAAGAATCAGTTTTTCCTCTCGAATATTAATGAGAATTTCAGAATGACCTTTTTAAAGTAATAACTAGAGTCAAAATGTAACAAAAAAAAAGTCTCTTTTCATGTTTTGATTGGAATAAGATTTTTAGGAGAAATTTTGTTCGCAGATAAAAAATAATAATAATAAACATCATTGTTAAACCAATATAACATATAGAAGAATCTTAGCTTCGTTCAGAATATTTTTTTTTTTTTACGCGTTATAATTGCATTAATTATTATTATTATACATTTTGGTATATTTGCAAGTTCGTTTTCGGGTTTAACCGGTTTATTATTTTGCTTTATAATAAACCGAACAGATTAAATTATTTAAATTTAATCAATTTTTACATAACTCTGAGTATCTCTATATATATGTATATATATATATAATGTGAAAATATTATAACAAATACTCCTTAAAAAGTAGATATAATATTTTTGATATATAACGTTTTAATTTTATTTGAAGGAATATAGTACCTACACTTATTATAATGAAATTAATTAAAGTTGCCTATATTAATTTCAATTATACTTTCAGCTTTTTATTATACTAGGTGCAACTTTTTCCTATATAATACTTATTAATGTCAAATATTAATTGAGGGCAATGTAGCCAAATATATTATAATATCGACTATATCAGTGATTTTATAAATAATCGCATTTCAAACTTTTAATTTTTTTTTTTTTATGTCTATAGAAGATATAGAGTAGCTACGGATCAGAAAATTGAATTAAAAATAATGCAATCCTTTTTATTATGTCTTTTTCCTGCATTTATAACGTTTCGCGATGTTAAAAAATGAAATATAATAACACATATAATAGGCGTAAAATAATAATTTTTATCAATGATAAATAGTAAATTAACAGACATCGCGTGAGTTCATTGTGAATGCATTATAATATCTCCAACATTCAGTGATGGCAAAAACCCTTTTTTTGATTTAAATTTTTTTTTTCTAAGATTTAGAGGTGGGTGGGTGATCCATATGAAATAAACTAAATATTATAAATCGTATAGGTACTTCTAATTTGATAAAAAATATTGAAATATCGACAAAAGCAACTTGTTAATGATTAGAAGTTTTTATAAGTTTTGATAAGTTTTTGCTGGGTTATTTGAGGTTTATTTCACTATTGCATTATCAACTTCGTTAGTCGTCGACAAATAATATTTTTTTTTAATTTTATCCATTATTATATATATTTGCTACGTACAATTTTGTTGGATTATTTATTTTGGTACTATAATAATAATATCATAAAACTATAAAGCATACCTATATTATGTGAATAATATTCACTTTTTATAAATGTGATGAAACCACTATTATGATTTAATATATACTAGTATATTAGTATTAATATAAATATTGTTTTGATTTTGAAGACATTTACAATCAAATAATGTGTAAGTGAAACTGACTTTAATAATATTATAATATAATATAATATATGTATAGGTATAATGTATGTATAACTTTTGTTTTTAAATGTTATTATGATTCACCGTCGTTCTGCTGCATCGCCTGCATCCATTCTTCGATCGAAATAAGCCCGTCGTGATTGCGGTCAAGTACATTTTCAATCAGATTTTTCAAATCGTTTCTAGCTGAATATTTGTTCTTAATCATTGTTTCCAAAGACTCGTCCATTTGCATGCTGCAGGAAAGAATTATACTTTATTAATGTTAATATAATTTCCATGTAGGTTTATAGATATTTTATTCTATGCAGGTAAATATAATTGTTTTTAGTACTAGTTAGACGGTCGAATGTGATTTTTATATCAAGTTTATAAATTTGAGCTATCGGCAAGTATTTTTTTATTTTAATTTGATGTTTTGAGGACAAAATAATTTTAACCGAGTGGGAAACGCTAAAACATTTTTTACCTATGTTCATTTTAAGTTGGACTTGGCTGAGAAAAGAAATTTTATAATTTTTACGTCAAAATTTGAACTTTATAAACACTGCTACAATACGGTCAACTTGTTTAACACAATACAAACTAAAAAAAACTCGATAATGTCAATAATATTAATAAATTTCACACAAATTGCTATAATGATTTGAACATTTTACCATTTCTAAAAAGGTCAATATAAGTATTTTGTAAACATTTAAGATTTCTACATCAAATTACATAAAAAAAAAAACCCAAAGTCAAAAATAATCAAACCATTATTGCCGTAAATATGTCTCTTCGATTTTTCCCATATATTATGAAAACTACTTGAAAGATAAAAACAAAAACGACCTTCTTTTACACTAACTAGATAGATATGTATTTCAGAAAAGATTATACATACTACGAAATTCATAAAAAAATTTCTAGTAGAATAAAACCAAATTGAACAAATTTAAAATAATGAACTCTATCAATTGAGTTCTGATATTGTTTCCTGTATTATTCAGGTTATACTTATATTCTATAAGTACATGGCTGGCTAGCTACCCAGCAAAAACTGTTAAGTTGTTTTTTTTATTTCGGTACTAAAAATAACTTTTGTACCAGAAATCTTGCTCCAATCAAAAAGTTATAGAAACTTTATTATATCATTTTAAATTTATTCTGTACATTGAAAAGCTCAATGCTTTGTTTTCTTAATAAAGGTTTTCTTGTCATTGGTTTTGTAAAATTTTTTAATATCGATATACAAGGTTTTGCTTGGTAGTTGACGATTTTATATATTCCCCTTATTTTTCGGTGGGGAGTTTCGGACCGATGGCGATCCAGACAAAAACCGGATGAAAAATTGTACTGCGAATTATAATTAGTAATAATAATACTACGTGAATTTCTGCAGGTCGTCGGCGTGTCGAGTGCATGGTATAGTATAGTTGGGTACCCTGCAATCCATTATTCCGGATCAATGAGGTCACGCTTGGTTGCCGTTTGTAATATTTTTGTTCGTCTTTATTTTGTATTAAATATAAATTATTTGAGAGACACATCGGGTAAACGTCATCATAACTATATAATATAATATAATACTGTGATGTGCAATATTTGCGCTTGGTCGTTCTATTTTGATCGGCAAACTTTCATTTGGACCTTTTCAAACAGTCTGCGAGATCCGATATCTACGTCACAGTCGTCGACCGAAAATAAATACATCGAACGAAAAATGTTTTTCTTTTCTTTAACCCTTCCTCCCACCATTCGTTAAAATACCGATACGTCGCAATAGCGTACGGTGAATTTTCTGTATACGTATATGAATATACGGAGCGAAAAATGATCGAAAATTATATTGCTCTGTGTACAGGATGATTTTCTGAAGTTTTATCGGATCAATATTATGAAAAGATTTGATTTTGTTTTTTTTAGAACCGTTTAAGCGGACACCACTGTGAACATTTACATTTACTGTCTCCGCCTAATAAACGTATGTCTTCCATCGAAAATTTGCGTTCAGGAGGTCATATTTTTTGCCGTTATGTTTAGTATTAGAGTGCAAGGTCTATTACCAAAGACTTATTAATGGACCTATTAACCCTACAGTGGGCACGCCATATTTCATAACGCTGTTAGGCGCGTGGCGCACTATAGTGTACAATTCAATATTTTTAATTTTAGAATTATAATTAAATATGTAAAATAGGCTTTATAATAATAATCATTAAATAGAACAATTGCAACGAACAAATTTACTAAAAAATTAAAAAATGTTTCGTAAACTAACAAATTCATTAACAAAATAATTAAAAGTCGTCACACTTGAATCCTAAAACGGATAAAACGGTTAATTCACTCTAATATTAAACCTAATGGCACACAATTTGTCTTACTGAATACATGCGGGTCTGATGTCCTCTTAAAATAATAGTATAGTAAGTACCGTATTCAGGATTTTGCTAAGGAGGGAGATATTGAATTTAAATATTGTGTCATATTGTATAACCTTTACCCAGGCTATAAAAGGATCAATTATAAATTTGTATATATATTTCTGTAAATAATGTTCAATTCTAGGTATACCTGGACAAGGAATTGTTATTCATTTATTTACGATTTAAAGGTACTAATTTAATCTCTGTGTGGTTAAGAAAAGAAAATTTGTATTTAATGTAGTATTTTTTTTTTTTATAAAGAAATTTTAATATCAAATTTTAACGAAAATCGTCGAGTAAAAAATTATGTGAAAAAATCTAATTTTTCAATTTTTTTTTTGAACACATGTATATTGTTAATTTAAAAACAACGGTGAAGTCAGAATTGAGCGGACTGACTAAGTTTCAAAATTATAGCTTTTTAAAATTCTGATTTAAATAACTAAATATTGTCTTCTCTAAAGTATGTTTGTCGTAGCTGAACGGTTAAACATATCTATTTTCATTCTAGTTCACGAGTTCGAACTCATGTTTCAAATAAAAATTGTTTGCATTTTTTCCTCCTCTTATCTAAACAAGGAAAAAACAAATGCATTTTGGGTGTATACTGAATCTAGAGAGACAAGCTCACTAGGACTATTTTAATCGCAAAATACCTCTCGATTTTTTGTGCAAACTTTTCTACCAAAAATCTTGCTCCGATGTATTAAGTGTAGCTTGAAAAGAAAATTTAATCTCCGTGGTAATTTGGGAAATAAGAAAATGTTAAATGGGGAAAAATCGTGAAAACCGGAGAAAAACGGACAAATGTACCAAATATTAGTAAAATATTACGATTTTTTTTCTGTGAACAACTTTTTTACCATCAATTTTGCTCCAACTTATAATAATAGCACTTTTTCTAAAAGAAAATCTGACTAAGAAGGTACTTTATTTTTCGATTTTCCCAAGAGTTTTCCTAGTAAATGTAAAAAGCCGAGAAAAAATGGGAAAACTGGGAAAAATGCAAGAAAAAAAGAAAAATCGGTGCAATATTAATCAAATATTATTAAAGAAAATATATAACGCCTATTTAATTATTTTACCATAATATGTCATATATATTGTTGACAAAGCGTCACTATCAACTTGATTACGCTTAGAATCGTTTTTTTTATTGTTATTGCGTAAATATTCTCCAATTAAAAAAAAAGCAAAGAAAATCAAAAAGTGACCTCTCTAATGCAGCTCAACTAAGAAGTATTTTTCGTTACGTTCAAATTCTAAAAATGTTTACCTACCGTTTTTGTTATGAAAACAGATATTATAAAATTATGTTTCTGGTTAATAATTCAAATTTGAAAAAAAAAAAAACATCAATAATGAAGAAAAATGTTGATTAGTTCGTAATATGTTTGTAACATTTTATCTACATTAATTTACTTCCGAATTATTGAAAACGTTTCAAATATTTTTCGCCGACCTACACGTTACTTTCGTTCATTTATAAATGTCACATGTATTGCGAACCAAGTGAGTGTGAAAACTGATAAACTACAAAAATGATGTATGTTCATGATATTATATATGTTTTATTTACTTTTATTTAAGCTTCTATTTACTCTACTTCAATATTTGCTTCCAAAACAATATATAATTTGTATGCAAAGTAGGTTTTATTTTGACAAGTATTTATTTTTTTTTGTTCCTGTAAGGAACTTTTCTACCAGAAATCTTGATTCAATTGAACAATGACTAGAATTCTTTTTTTTTTGTATTTTCGACTTAGTTGGCATTATGTAATTTTTTTTGATTTTTCAAGGAGTTTCAAAATAATAAGGAAAAATCAGAAAAAAAACATATCGGAAATACGAATAAATATTTACGGGGCGACATGACATTCAGATTTAATTATTTAAAATTTTTACGCATTATCTTTTAACCAGTAATCTTGTTTCTATCAAATAAATTTAAGAGACCGTTTTTATTTAATTTGATATTTAGTTGGTAAGTATGAATCTTCTTTTTAATTTTTCAAATGGTTTTGATAATAATTGAGAAAACACCAGAAACGAGGTAAAATTATAATGGACAAATTTACAGCGTTATGATTTCATTATTTTTAATTTTTTCGGTTTATGTTTTCTATCCAAATTATTACTCCGATCGAACAATGACATGAGCTTTTTTGTTCAATTTTAGATATAGTTGATAAATAAAAGACTTGTTTTTGATTTTCCATGTAGTTTTCTAGTAGGAAGTTAATTTAAAACCGAGAAAACACGTAGAAAGAAACATCTCGAGTTCTAGTTTAATCATTGCTTTATAAATAGACTAAATACGACTGATCACGAATTATTCGCGACAATCTTTTATCTCCGTAAAACTATTTTATCGTCGGGTTTCATACTCTACGTTATACTTTAAATTATTATTATTACTATGTATTATTATTATTGCATTGTTGTTTTAGCTACCTAGATAGTTCATTTGTATATTTTGGTAAATGTATAATTATATACAGTCTATATTGTTTGAATGTTTTGGGAATTGTCAACATAATAATATACATAGTAATTAAGCCTGTGCGGTTTTCTCGAAATGAATTTATTTTGACAACATTTGATCAAATACGCTCATTCGTGACTGAATTGCAAGTTTGTAATTGAACGGCGAGTCTGTGATATTAAGTGGTTTTTTTTTTTTTTTTTTATAAGAATGAACGGACGAAAGCCTGTAGTGTAGGCAAAGAAAATTGTATAAACAGTATTCAAATTTAAAAATAGAGTAATTACTGAAGCAAATGGAGTAAATTGTAAGTAGTTTTAGTTTTGATAATAATATGTTTATAATATTACTATAAATTACTATAATATACTTAATGTTATTAAAAACCAAAGTGAGTACTATAGTTACTTTTAGGTATTTATTAATTTTTAATTTTAGATTCTGAGTGAGTATTGGTTTTAAAAAGATGTTTACTTTTTTTAATTTATACTGCTAAAAATATCTACCAGAAATCTTGTTCCGATTTTCAAGTGTAGCACCTTTTTTGAAAGGAAATTTTCCTTTCAGGTCATTTTTTGATTTTCCGAGTAGTTTTTAAAATTATTAGGACAAACCGGGAGAAAACGTAGGAAAAGAGGGAAAATTTACGAAAATAAAACTTTTACTATTTTAAATTTTGTTTTTTTGTTATAGTTCAGTTAAAAATATTCTTTAAAAGACTTGAAATTTGGACAGAAACTATTGTTAAGTTCAAAGGAAAGTATCTATAATGAAGCAGCGGGCTGTAATTGCATTCGCTAATTGACTATTATTATTTTGACTAATTGGCTGTATACTTGTATTCTTGGAACTTTAAAAAATTATGAAAAATAAAAGGTTGACACGTCAAAATTGTTTGAAGAATAAAATCTATTTAATGGTTATTTTAAATTTTTCAAAAATGACAAAATATAGTTATTCTTTCAAGTTTTTTACAAAAACATAAAAAATTAATTGTAATATAAATATTTGTTGTCCTTATCCCTGCGAGCAATATAAATAAAAAAGGATCGACATATTTCGCACGTGGGTGCAGCCCACATTGTAGGTGAGAAGTTGGGAAGGTGAAACAATGACTAACGAAAACACAATTCTATATTCTATGTATTTTGTAACCATTGTTATTTTCGTAAAAGAAATATGGTATACGCTCATTTATGAATTTAAGTAATGAATTATATGATTATATAAGCATAAAAAATAGTCAGATTCAATTATACAGAAAGCCGTTCGCTTCACTCACGAAAAACTTTAAGCCTTGCAAAATAATTCTTACATAGTACTTACATTCACCAATTCGCAAATTATACAAATTAATTTTTTTTATCCAGTTTTATATATTTTTATTAATGTACCAAAGTATTAAAAAATATTTCACTAGTCAGATTTAACTTAATTATTCGTTTAAGTAATTGTTTGAATATCAAATTGAGGCTCATAAAATAATGAATTAAAACCAAAGTCCAGCAAAAAAACTAAAAAACTAACATCACCGAATATGAAAAATCTAAATTATACCATACCTATTCCCATACGTGGTAATAACCGATCTTAATTATTTGTTACACATTTTCTAACTTAATATTGTGGACAATTAATGAATAACATCTAATAAATAATTATACAGAATACAGATTGCTTAATTTGTACCATTTTAATATTGTAATCTTTTGCCATGTACAAACTACGCACATTTTTGTTTAAATGTAAGGTATACGAGCGTATACGTGTGTGTTTGTATTTCTACAAAGTAAACGCTACCTAATTCACCGAGTGGTAAATGGGTATACGTCGTATATTTCTATACATCTTCCAAAATACCTCTGGACTATTAACATAAAGTTGAAAATAATTAGTGATTAATTTAAAATTAATAAAACAATATTTTATATATTCAATTTTTATTCTGTCATATTCATTTTCATTCTATCTATATTTATCTGTAATTAATATTAATACAAATATTAATAAATTATCATTATTGTGTCTAGTACCTACTGTAAGTAGAATCTTCAAAATTAGAAATTAAAAATTAAATATTTGTTGTTACAGATAATAATATAAAGAAAATAAGTGGTATAATAATATGATATAGAATATATTGTTTCATGCTCACTCACGCTCACGATATGGATCATTAAAACTGCACGTTTATACCTCCGGGATATTTACTAGCGAAATTAGGTTTAATATCGAATAAAAAATTGCGTGTTAGTCATATACCTGCTCTAATTATTTTACAATGTTACTGATATGTTCAAAAATAAATCAGGCGAAATTAGAAAGAGGTACGGGAACAAAAAGTATTTTTATTTTCACTCGATCATTATTAAATAACAAAATAAATGAAGTAATTCGTTTTGTACAACTATACAATACGTATACCATAAAAAAAGTATTGGTTTTTGATTTTATAAAATATAAAATATCGAAATACCGCGTTCGTTCGACAGGGGCGGATTAGTCCAAGTGGAAGGGTAGAGAAGTCCGCCCGGGCCGGTAGGATTATTTATGATCCGGGCCGGTATAACTCACCTAAATCTGTCTATTATCATTTATTTTAAAATTAATAATTTGTATTGATATATAAATATTTTAATTTCAAGCTTAGTAGTTAGAACATTGCAGTTAACAAATTTACTCATATTGCAGTTTTACGACGTACTTAAGTCAAATATTGAATTAATTATTGTACGAGTATAATAGAAAAGTACATTGATATGTATTATATTTATTACCTAAGTATCCAACAAAACGAATTTCGTCTTAAATTAAGATTGAAACGTTGATTAATATGCGAGTGTTCACCTTAACAGCGAGCTCACTTAACAAAGTTGAAAAACATATCGTGTACTTTGGGACGCTCAAGTACTTCTACATACAAGCCGAAATACTCCCTGTCCACCTCTGTCGTTCGAAATTATATAATTAGGAAAGTTCAGAACGCTATAAGATATCTTATCTAATGCCACCGGAGCGATTTTTGAACTGGAAACTGAACATATATTTTTAAATGATTATCAAAATTGATGTATTTGAGACTTTTTTTTTTTTGAGAACGATTGTAATAAAATATATAATACTGCAGTGGTAAGTAATCAAATGCCCGGATAAGACAAGTGATTCGCTGCCTTATCTTCTATTTTTTTTATTAAAATATATATACTTTTAAGCTGTGTATCTCATAATATTTAGGATTCTATAGAATAGATTTGAACAGTATAAGTTTATTAATTATGCAATCTTTTCTTTAGGCCAATCAAATGGTACTAAATTAAGAGAAAAACTTGAAACGCTAAATTTGACATAAATTTAGATTTTTTAATAAATAGAAACACGTGCATACACGAAATCATTTCAGAGGTCAACAAACCATTTTTCTTTTATGTAGCCAAATGTATTTAGTATTTTATATTTATGTAGTAATGATTTACCTACCGACAATAACCGACCATTCGAATATTATTTTATTATAAACAAAAATATTTTAATGATATCGGGGAAAAATACCGAAATAAAAAGATTCGAATAGTTTTTCGAAATATTCGATAGTGCCCGAATCTAACCTCACTTATAATGGCAATAACATTGGATAACACTCTTAAATAATGCCATGTTAAAAACAATTACCGTTACCGTTTAATCATCATTACCGCTGCCTAATGTGGCAGTAAAATTTTGGAAACAGTTTACATATTTTGTTTCCGACAATGCTGAAACCGTATGTTGCCTGGCCGTGGCTATATAAAAAAATGTAAAAATGTGTTATGTACCTTATACCAAGATAGTACTTAGGTACTCGTTATTTTTAAGCAAAATAATGTTCAGAAAGTTTCATGTTTACACAAATTATTTGAATATTTCGTGTTCTATTTCTATAGTCAACATGGGAATTATAGAGGATGACTGAAATCTTTGTCTTTTAGACATGTGAGCTAAATTTTAGGGAACTTTCCGTGGGGGTAACTGCTTCCATTGTCCCTATAGTTCCAGCGGCCCTTTTACCTGTATCTAAGGATAATTTAAATTTGACGTGACTACCTACACAAAACAGGTTACCGATATTCAACTCCTTATTTTCATAAATTACAAATAAAATTATAAATTTAAATATTTTAAATAATAACTTGCTTTTGATTAAAGCCATCGTCTTTGTTGTCCGTGAATGTATCTGATGGTAAAAGGTTCGTAGCGTAATTATCGGCCCGTTTACCGAATCCTCTGGCCGTCTGCATATTACGCCTGCAAATTTGCAGATTTCTTATTTTCATATTTACATATAAATTATGAATTTTACGGCTTCAACAAAACAACTTACTTATTATTGAAACGTTCGTCTTTATTATCCGTGAATATATCCGATGGCAATAGGTCCAAAGCGTAATGTTCAGCCCGTTTACCGAACCCTCTGGCCGTGGACAAGTCCATATTTTTGAAACCTCTTATGGTCCGCCCTTTGTCTTTGTTTTTGTGTTTGTATTCGTTATTTCCAAATGCCGGGTATGAATTGACAACGGCCAATATCATCAAAAATGTTATCTCCAAAACCAAAAGTCGGTTGACTGCCATGTTTTATCAAAATTGTTGTATCTTGCAAATGATTATCGGATCCACCTGTAACAAATAAATCGGACTAATGCATCACAGTTATATTTTCAAACACAAATTATTCGAGTTTTAAATTAATATCTAGTCTGTATTTTTCGCTTGGTTCTAACATTTATTTAAATAATAATCTAAATTTAATTTTTATTATCGGTTTCAGCCGTTTACCCTATGGGTATGAATGTAAATTTTTGTAACGAATATACTGCTATATATTGATTTTACAACGATGTGTGTATTGTATATTTTTGTTATTTTTGCGTACATTTTTTCGAGTATACACATAGGAGTGCTCTCCACGATATTTTTAACCTATATCATTTTCCGATGCCAAATTTATTTTTATTTTTCAAAAGAAAAGTTACCTACAGTTTTTGAGTTCCTCAATATTTTCCCCGACCGTATAAGTAGGTAGGTAATTTACAGCATAGTCGTCGTTTTTAACCGAATCGATTTTGGTTATTTTTTTGTAATATTCCCGGCGGTCGTCAAAACACCAAACCCATCATTTTACCAAAAAAAAACTTCATCGAATTTACCGTTTTATCTGAAATGGCATATTTTTCTTCAGTGTCGCGGCTTTTGGCAAAGATGCTTCCGCATAACGCATGTTTTTTTTCGTTCAAACGGCACGAATTGCATTTTTTTTTTAGACTTTTACAAACACGTGCACTTGAAAGAACAATTTCGATATTTACGCGGTTTCCCGTTTGCCATTTAAACTAGAAATATTTTATTGAATATTTAAATTCAAGTAAAGTAATGTAGCTACATTATGTTACAGATGAGAAAGTATAATATAACAATGGGATAATATTGTAGGTAATTAATTAATCGAAAAAAAAATATATAAAAAAAAGAGCTGATACTAAGGATGGATGTACCCATGTTGTGGTAAGGAAATTTAGAAGGTTGAATTCCTAATGTTATTTAATTTATATCTGTACATAACGATAAACTATTACTAATGAAATACAATTTTGAGCGCGATGTTTGATTAAAAATGTTTTAAAATGCAATAATTTTTACGATTTTCGTCAAAATTTATTTTTTAAACGCTTATAAAAAAACTACTACATTACGTTCATCTATATATATATATATTTTTTTATTTTTTTTGACCACTAAATAAAACTTATAATGAATCACATATAAAATTTTCAAAAAATTCTATTGAGTTAAAAATGGTATTTAAAAGTATACCTACCAAATAAAAAATAAAAAACATGTTGAACGCACTTCTAAATGCACCAATTAGGTACAAAAAAAATCTCTTGTCTTATTTTGATCGGGACTAGATTTTTGATTAAAAAGTAATTGTAAATTACAAAGATATAGTTTAGTGTGGAACATGAATTTTGATTTTGCGTTCAGGAGCACGAACTCGAAAGTTAAGCTTTAGTTTAGTGTTTTGAGTATGGTGGAATGCATAGATTTAAATTTAATAATTCTATGTCTAATGTATATATATTGTATCCTACCTTCCCAACTTCCCACCTATAACAGTGTCACATCTATCAGCAATATCGGGTTTTTTTATTTTGAAAATTTTGGTAATATTAGTACATATCTGCATTCTGTGTGTATACCTATTTAAGAACTTCTATGGCATATAGAGGGAGATCCAAAATGCAGTACAGCAGCCAAATAATGAAAGATACAAGAGTAACTTTTTACAGTGAACTTAAAGTTATGATAAACGACTAGGAAACATAGAGAGAGCATTTGTTGTAAATAAATTTGTTAAAAACCAATTTCTGGGTAAAAATAAAAACAAAAAAGATGGCATACAAATATCTGTCCGAGTTTAATAAAATGTTGCGGTATAATAGAAATAAAAAAAAATCCACGAGTCACACGTCTATAATATTCCGGCTTTTAATATTGCAAAGAAAACAACGTGAGAGGTTTTAATAAAAAACTGCGCATTACCACGGTTTTTATTTTTTATTTTTTATTATTATTAATTTGGCGACGCACAAATATATTATAATCTTTTAAGTGTTCCGGTTCCTATATATGTTAAATCGTGTCAAGTTCGTCTCATAAAAACAAGTCTCCACACACGTCTACTGTGTGATATATTAAGCTTTCTCACCCAACTTTTAAGGGTAAATTTTACAAAAAATTAAAATTAAAATTCTGATATTTAGATTTAAGGAATATTATGAGGCGATGCCAACTTTGATTTTTCAAATAAGAACCTATATTAAAAATTCCAAAAACATAATTTGTGTAGCCACACAATACCTGTTGTTTGAATGATGTTCCGCAACTCTCTTCTTACCTAAAGTAAATTTGTGTACATGACTATCATCAAAACAAAATACATTTCATCCCCCTCCCCCATAGAAAAAAGCTGAGCACGCCACTGTCATGTAACATGCGTTTTTTTTTTCATGAACTAAACGAGGGAATGTTTAGTACATGTTTTAAATTCGTATTTACCATTATTTATAATAAAATTAGTTCTGTCAACAATAAAAAAGTGTAGGCCACTCCTGGGTTTACATAGTTAGAAGTTGGTTTTTTTTTATATATACCATTTTCGTAAGATCAGGAGTTTTTGACTACGTAAAGTTTTAAGCGACAGTAGTTGTAACTCAGTGTCACATTCATAGACGTCTATCATCTATACGTCAATAGTTATAATCGTGAACGATAATATGTAAATATAGTTGCGTAAACAATAAGATACTATATCTAAAGTTATTATTGATAATCCAATGGCAGCATGCACTTTTTTTTCTATGAAACAGTTTCAGTAAAATTACCAAAAACATCATGCAACCAAAACCCAGACAAATCAGGAGCTATAACATAGGCTACCTGACGTTCATGTACCTGTACTTAATATTTTCCCTAAATAAAACATGTTATGTTAAAGTGTCACGTCATATACTACATAAATCATACAGATAATTATTCATGATGCTAATACTGATTTGTACGTATATGATAGATTAAGCACAAGGAGATTAACATTATACTCTATAATATGTTATCACTTATTTAATATTTAATCAAATATCCCAAAATAATAACAGTATTTATTAAAATTGTTAGCGACGTGTTTTAGATTATTATTTTTTAACTTAAGCATAATTATAATTATTAAAGAAAATTAACTATAATGACTTATTGTTTCAGATCAAAATACACAAAGTTCGGAAATATTTTCATAAACATTTGTCAAAGAATAAAATGTGTAAAACTGTTTTTTTTTTTTTTGTACTTCTGGATAATTGTCTAGATGTACGCCCTTTTGCCTATATTAGGACTCATATTATATTCTGTCATGTTGATTGAAATACGTACAGAACGCACGCAAGTATAGAATTATATAATATTATTATTTGTACTATTTGAAATTACGTTCCTATTTGCTGTTATTTGTTTTCTCTTATAAACGAGAATACGAATATTGACATTTTATTTTTATATTATACAGTTGTTAGTAAGCAAATAAAATCATACGTCTATGTATATACCTCTAAATGGTCTCGTATTAAAACGGGTCATTTTAAAATATTCAACATTTTTAGGACACGACTACAATATTGAATTACAAGAATGTATTGAATATATTTTGATCGTGCATATTATAATAATGAACATGTTATTTGGTGATGGAAACAGGAGTCTGGCCGGTCCTTAAAAAGTATTCAGTACCGTGGGTATTGTTATAATGAATATTTCAAATTCAGTCATCTACGTGATTCGATTAGGAGGTACCTAGATACTATACTAATATTCGGGTCCTTTTGGATTTTTAGATTTTAAGAGAGAACATTTTTTCATCGTTTAATATTAACGCTCGGAATTCCCGCAGTAGTTAAATCGCAGTGCTCACATTTACTAGTTGAAATATAATAATGTGCAGTCTGTATAGTCTGTACATCTGTAGATGGTACTGTCGAAAACGTATACAGTTATAATTTGGGAAACAATAAAACGATAGTTCGTTTGATGAATTTATAATAAAATGTAAGTTTCTCTGAATAAGATTTAAGAAGAAAAATTTGTATTTTCATCAAAACCTTTTTAAATAAATAATTATTATGTATTAGGTCTTTTAGAAATAATCAAATAAAAAACAAATAATATCGGGAGAAAATTAATACCTAATACGTAAATATAAATACATATTTAAGCTTACTGTCAATTTAATTAAAATAAGCTATTTTTTTAACTAATTATAAAAAAATATGTTTTTTAAGCTAACTCTCAGATGCATAAATGGTTTTTAACAAAATTATATATTTATACCGTAATCGACATCTATGGGAATAAATGTATAGAACTATGCAGGCACTATTATTATTATAAAAACTAATTTTAAATCATTTTTTTTTAAAAACCAAATCGATGTAGGTGTAATATTTAGTCCCTAAATATATAAATATATTAATTGAATATATTTGTAGTAAAATAAAATTATAATAATAATGACGCTATAAGTACACGAACGAAAAATAAATTATTTACATTATCGTTACAATTGTGTGTAAAAAATGTGAAAATAAATTTTTGATAACAAATACAAACTGACATAATAATAATATTCCCCTATGGTGTGATATTATGTACTTATTCAAATTTTTTAATGTTTTTTTTTTTTTCATAAGCTTATTTGGTACGTTAATTTTCAAAAAAAATAATACAAATAGAGTAAAACTTAATTAGTTTTTGTGTGAAACTTTCATAAAATAATAAATAAACCTTTTAAAAATAATTTATTGCCTAGGTGCTTGCCTTAAATATGAATAAAATATTAACTTTTTGGATCAAAATATAAGTATCTTATTTAGAAAATTAAAATAAATATACATTGTGTATACATACCTACGCTTCATTTACATAATTTTTTATATATGTCTATTATTTACTTATATTTTATACACGAATACAAAACGAAGATATTATTATAAGAACCTTCTCGTCTGCGAGAGAGGTAATTTTTTTTTTAGATAAAAAAAAAAGTAGGTTGGCGCCAACTAGAATACCAGCCGTATCGTTTAACAAAGTTTCAGTGAAAATATTACAATACTATGACTGCCATTAAAAGCGTTCACAGACAAAACCTAACGACATTATAAAATCATTATACTTCCTCTTTTTTTTCGTTTCGAATCTATAGTAATATTTTGATTACCTACTATCAATAATTTATAACGGGGACCGACGTGCGATTTAACATTTCGCATTAGCGTGTACAGTAAAATTTCGTTGCCATAAAAAAACAACCACAAGTAGCAGAACTTCGTCATTTAGTGTCGGATTTTTCCTTACCTATTTTATATAATATACATATTCTTTGAAAAACAATAAATACAACAATAATAATATAACTTTAAAAAAAAAAATAAAATTTGATCATAAAAATAGTACAATGGAGTTTAAAAGTATAAACCAGGATTGGTGGTAGGATATAAGCGTATAAAACATTTTATGCATTACACATATAAAACATATACAACATAAACGACTATTATATTTATACTAGATAACGACTAAACCAGCACATAGTTTAGCACATGGCTCCGGTAATTTCATAAATATTAATATTATTATAGGTACCTAAAAAGTAAGGTAATTAAAATAAATAATAGCTAAGTTGGAAATTGAAAATGTTAGTTTTGATAACTCATGATTTCACTCAAGGATAGTCACAGGGGTTTGTGACAACGATAAACCATTGTTAACAAATTACGATTCTGGGTGAAGTTCAGTTATACATGTTTTGAAATGCCATACTATAGGCTATTTTAAAATTAAATTTTGAAGCGTTAATGCTTGGTCAAACAATTTAATCCACTTATGACATAGTTTTTTCCAAAACATTATATGTAATTGCCTTAATGCAATACGTAGGTAGATACAAATAATATCGAAATAATTGTTATCAAAATTCGAAGTCACTTTTTTTACAATTTTAACTATGCTAAAAACATTTTGTATTTTTATATTTTTATTTAGATAAAACGTAAAACAAAGTTAAATGTTGTTATTATATTTATACATAAGTATATCGTAAATTTGTTTATTCTATCCGCTCTCGATAGGTACTATAATAGTACTTAAGAGTTAAGCGTTTAGTAGCCGTTTTAGTAACTGGTATGAAATAAGTGAGAGATAATATATAGTTGCATTTTAATAAAACATCAAAGATTTCATTTGATGCGTATACTTAGCTATACTTTTGCACTGTGTCTCGAGTCTGGAGTTTTAATATCAGTAAAAAATAAATGGTTTTATTAAAAATAAAAAAATAAAAATCCAAGATACTATAACGAGATATTTCTTACGTAGGTATATTTAATAGAATCTGCTGGACAACGGAACTCTTCAAAGAAAATAAATAAGAAGATTAAGTGTGTCATCATAATAATTAATAAAAAATATATTAGGTACCCATATTATACCCCTCACTCTCTCTTTCTTCGCTTTGATAACTGTATAAAACATACAGAACTAACAAGAATGAGTAAAATGATTAAAAACAAGCGGACACACTTCGCTCATGGGTGAGCCATTGTTATAGGTGAAAAGTGGGTAGGTAGTAGAGTAGTAGAGGAAAAATGTAATGTATATCTGTACGCAAGGATTAACCATTGAAAAAGTGCTATACTTGAAAATTGAATCAAAATTGCTAGTAGAAAAGTTGTTCACAGATAAAATAAAAATAAATAAACATCATTGTAAATCAATACATTATTCGCTCCTCTCAGAACCTAAAACAAAATTTAAAATAATAAAAGAATTATTTCCGTAAATTTTCCCGTTCTTTTTACGAAAGTTTTCGGTTTTGCTCAATTGTTAAAAACACTTTATACCCATTGTAATATATTTGAAAATAATAAATACAATCAAATTCTGTTTTTTTTTATATATTACTCACAGGTATAATGACTACAAATATTTATATTTTAATTCATTTTTTACGTTTTGGTAAAAACTTTAAAAAAATTTATTTATTTATTTAAAAATTTTTGTTTTATAGTTTTTAGAAAATTGGAAAATAGTAGTTTTATAAAGTCTTCTAAAAATTTGGACGTATCAACTTTTATTTCCATTAAATTCGTTATTTTTAATAATTTTTTAATATTCAGACAAAAGTACCTAGAATTAATTATGCAGCAGGCTATAATCGTATTTGCTAATTAGATATTATTACCATAATTACTATAATTTACTGCACATTTTTTTCTCTGAACTTTAAATAATGATTAAAATCATGAATTTTATTTTTAAACTCAAGTACTGTATTTACAAGTATATATTTTATAAAATAAAATTTATCGCTAAAGTTTCAACGATTTTTGAAAAGTAAGGGTTTTATTCAATAACACCTCTGAGCATATTATAATTACATGTAGGTAATTAAGTTACGTAACTTAGTTAATTTTGTAACTTGTAACTTGTAATGAGTTACAAATTACAACGAAAAGAGACATTGTGCTTTTTATGCATTGTTAATTCATAAGTGAGACTACAAAAGCACAAAAAAAACATTCAATTTTGATATTCAGTGGTTAAACGATTATGGTTAATACATCTTTTTTTCTCCTAACATATAACGTTGTTTTACCTTGCCCGTGGTCGGTCAATAATTCTTCGGGCGATAACCAGTTTTTCCCGTTTAAAACTAAAATAAATTTGCCGTGGAATACAATTGTATCCGCTGCATTACTTTGAAAACATATAGTTGGTAGCTAGTTCCAGATGTGGGCTAATGTAGCTGTTGCAAATATTATGACTATCCCCGTACGATATAAATGTATAAGAAACGCGATAAATAGGTTCACCTATGTATTAATTGTAATAATACGTTTATATTGTTTTTAATTATGTTGTCGATTAGTCTTGAAACTCCAATTGTTTTACTTTTTATTAACATTAAACATGGACTATCAATCAGCTGTGTTGAATGGAATATTTTTTGATATAAGTAATTATTGACAAATGTTTTAAAGACTGTTTTATAGCCATATTTTATTATTATTATTATTGTTATTTTGATTTTGATTTATATAGGTGTGTTTAATACATAAAATTTTTTTATTATAATTGTAATTTGTAATTTTTAATAATATTTTACACAAGTTAATATTAACTATTACAGTATTCTTATAAACTTGTATACATTGAAATATAATTTTTTTTCGGTTTTTCCAAATTATTTTGAAAACCTCTTAGAAAATCAAAAGATTACCTCTTTAATGTATTTAAATATGTCTGTCTTTGTCTTCACTTAAAAACGATAGTAGAAATTATGTTTAGGTACTTGTTAATTATTATTTATTTATTAAAACTTTAACATAAATTGAACTTAACCATCGTAATAAATTTAGGTACATACAGTGAGATAATTGGTGGGGGGACATAGCTTAAACCGTTAAATTTTAACTTTATTTTAAAAAAGGTCTTGTGAATAATCGGGTTTAAAATATCTTGTGTCACATATAGACAAAGGTTGAGAACCGCCGTTTTAAACCATTATCGTACCGTCGTTGTCGTATAAAATATTATTGCAGTGTAATATGCAAAGAAAGGTGAGTTTTCATATATAATGAATTTTATTTCATCGTGGCTTTTGACAACAAAAAAAAAAAAATTATAATAATTATCGTCTTATTGTGACAGTCACGCAGCGCAATATCCAATTGCGAGACGAGATTATTTTTAATATGTATTTCATACAATGTTATATTTTTATTTGGTTTTCGTGAAAAAATATTAAAAACTTAACGAACTTTCCAGGTACCAAAAATATCATTATAATAGTGCGACGGAGACGACGACGACGATGTTATCAATGTGTTTAAACTCGGGTCCGCGCATTTAGAATAAAATAGATCATTTTATTATTGTGCAATGTGCATTGTACATCCGTACACACAGACCTGGTGCAGTATATCCCTATTTTAACCGTCACAGTGCCACCTACCACTTAAAACATTTATTACATATGCAAAATACATAACACAATTATAAAATATTCAACGTTGAATTTTATATAACACTACACTATTGACACCGGACGTATACTGAGTGACTCGTATTTTCATTTCTTTCATTTTTTTTTTCTTGCTTTCCTCGCATATTATATTATGAATACATTTTTTCTGTGTTTTTAAAAAAAAAAAACCGTACTTATTTCTATATAATATTATTATAATACCTACGTTTTTCATGTCGACCGGTTATAACGTAAAAAAATGAAAAAAAAAACAATTAATTTTTTCCCCGTAAACATTATATATTTATGATACCTAAATGTACATAAGATGCGATATTTTATTGTTTTAACATGATATTAATTATTTCGCATGTTATATTAGATTTTAAATAATTATTGTTTTATTTCGTTCTTCCCGTGTACCAGCTATAGTTTAGTAGGAAGTGTATTAAAGGATACGAACCACCTTTTTTTGTCGTCAAAATAATATTTTCTACCTACGCTTACTTATAATATTACTATCGTCGTTTTCATTAGTGAGGAGCAACACATTTCGAATAGAAATCTTTTATAATGAATTAGTTGCGTAAGTTGCGTTGTAAGTATTAATGGGTATATATTGCATTTTTGGGAGCACAAAAGAGTCAAGTAAATGCTTCTTTCGCCTCACGCCACGGCAAAATACCAGCGTCCAAGTCACTTAACTCGGAGTTCCCGTATTTATTATTTCTATAATATAATTCATTATGAGCTTCTGTTTTTCTAGACTTTGAGCGCAACGAGAAATGTATTGTTTAGATTCGGTTAGGTTAGGATAGAGAACAATAATCATCGATTATATTGTATCATCGTATGAACAATCTTCAATTTCACAGGCAGTTTTTATTAGACAATTTTATTGTCTAGTTGATGCATTCAACAGTTCATTTTTTTGATTTTACCTTTAGTTTTCTTAATAATTGAAAAAATGATAATATTTATGTAATATTTCTGTTATATTCGATTTTGTTTCTGTGTTGTAATTACAATTAAATTACATGGTCTTACAATTTTCACGTTACAGTCAAGTATTTCATAAAATACTAATTTTTTTCTAATATATTCTAAATTATTACATTTTCCTTAATTTTTCACCCTTATTTTTAGGATTGAAACGGTTACCTATTTTTAATTTCCAAATAAAAACCTATATTAAAAATCCATAAATAGATGGAGTATTACTTTAAATACATTTTGGCGTTAAAATTTCTAATTTCCGTTAATTTGTTAACGAAAAATTCAACTTTTAAATTTGATTAAATGGAGAGTAGAGGAGCACCATTTGTGTGGTGGCACAGCGTTGACTAAAGATTCTGTCAACCTTGAGGGCCAGACTATCCTAACCAGTAAGGTTTTTAAAATATATAGTACATTAAACGATAGGATTGCCAGTATACCACATTCCCTACCTCGTCAATAATTAATAGTTCAGCTTTTTACGGAAATTGTACAAATCACGGTATTTTAAAACACGTTAGCTTGAATTTCGCTCAGAATCGTATTTCGTTAGCGATTATTTATCGTTGCATACGGTTATAAATTAAATTATTCTATGTATCATACCTTTCCAACATCCCATCTAAAACAGTGTTTCACCCGTCAAGCTTTTTTTTTTTTTTAAATCTGTAAACTCTCTGTGTTTTTATAAAACAATTTTACTAATATTTTTTCTGTACATGTACTCGTAGTTTATGCGGTTTACAGAGTGGTTGGCTTTTTCAATCTATATATGTATATATTATACTCGACCCGTACTCCGATACTCGACTATATTATATTTTATTGTAAGTGCTCGCCATGGTACCCGAATCCCCTGTATACATACACGGTCGATTTTCAATTGTCCAGTTACGGAATTACGCGTTCAATCCACGAAAACTATGTATAATGCACTCATCATAATATTACTTTTGTACGCGATGACGAATACAACAACAATATACGGTTCGTACTCCTTTACGGGTATACCTACTTACCTAGATACTATAGATATATATGTATACCTACTTAAATTCATCGTGTGTAGTTCGAACTCCTCGATATTCGTACATATTACAATAAAAAAGCTCTGATTCGCGTGTAGTTTCATCGGTAAAACAGTTTTCTCGACAAAACGATATTTTCGGAATATTTCGCCACCGCCTCCGTGGGCGATAATCAACAGTATATGTGTATATAAGTAAGAAAATATTAATTATATATATTAATTTCGATCCGTTATCTTGATGCGTCTTTATTATACTCAAATTCGTTTGTATTACATATAATATTATGTTCGTATATGAAGTGAGGCATTATCAAAATTGGAGATCATATTATATCAGCTATTATTTTCGTCCACGTCTCGATGAATCCTGACTTTATCGTAAATAATACAAATCTTTCTTTCCAATAGTTATGTACTTCTGTAGTTATGTAGTTTTCTATTTTTTAATTTTTTTTTTTTTTTTTTGTAGGAGAGGGATATTAAACAGGCCCGTTTTAAGTTTTTTCTCAATTTTTATAATTTGTATTGATACGTTTTAGTAGAATAACGTCATTTCTATATTTAGAATGCTGGAAACAAGCAACCCGAAAAAATCAAAACAATCATAATAAAACCAATACATTCATCGTCACGCTTAGAATCTAAAATAAAAATAAATAAACACATATTACATTAAAACAAATTAGTACATTTCTCGCTCTGCTCAGTATCTAAAATTGCGTGTCCAGCCCCTTATAGGTTTCCGGTGAGATAAAAGAGGAATGGAGGGACCGAGACTGGAAAAAAGTTTTTACAATTTATTGTTTACTGCAATTACACTTAAAAATACATCTGGGTTAAATTATTGTATAATAGAAATGTAAAGCGAAATTGTCGACCGATGGTTGTTTACTAAATTCTGTTTCATGGGTTATGGTATTTTGCATGTATGCAATTTTATTTTTGGTTTTTTTGAAATTCTAATTGATGCAAAGAATATATTGGTTTTATTATCTTGATCCAATAAAAAACTACGTAAGAACTTTATTGTAGCATTTTTATCTTGTTGGTACATTAAGGAAGTCATTATTTTAACTGTCCTTGTAGTTTTCTTAATAAATCAGAAAAAACTAGAAATGCTTGTTGATTATCTACCTTACTAATAACAAAAAATACGACTAATAATACTCTAATTAACATCTTCGTTAGCGGTGGATTATTACTTACATACATTAATTACTACAAACATACATTCTTATAACTTTTCTCATAAAACAGTGACACATCTATCAACAATAACGGCCTTTTTAAACAAAGTATAGTTCAAACAAATTCAATAAAAAATGTTAAGATTTTCTAAGAATTCAATTGGTTTGTGAATTCTTATCCAGTGGATAAGCGGAAGAAGTTCATAAATGATTTCACTTCCATATTATTTATAGGAAAGTACAAACAGTTTGATTTTATCAATCTAATAGAACTACTACTTCTGTACTTTGTTATTGATAGTTTTACCGGATCGTAATCTAGACTTACTATTAATACGAATTTAAAATATGTTTTGTTTGTAAATAAACGTATCGATAGAAAGATTTTGTAATTTTATTATTATTATTTTTTTTTAATTTACAATATTCCGCAGATTTTGAGACATCGTTGTTTTTAGCTTATGTGCATCATTTACACGAGTTAAATATTTGTTGTTTGTTGTACACGTACACAGCTTAATATTATATTTATATTAATTTATAGTATTTTAGTAAAAATTACGATATTAATATTATTTTAATAATTAAATACGTGAACACTGAACATATTTTTACAGAAATTTTTTCACTATCTTTGATGTGTATTTATTTTTTTAAGAAAAACATCTTGATAGTCGCGACTTTCCCGTGATTTTAAGATGATTCTATATTTTATGAGATTTAATTCGAAAAATCTTCTTTCTTCGAAGTGCCATCGGAGCGTATTTAAAAAGTTGACGGGTAAAATGTTATACGCAAGCATTTAAAATGCCAGAAAAGTGTTTCCCGGGGGAAACACACACACATATAACTTTAAAACTATAATAGGTTTCTGCCCTGTTCGGAATTTAAAATAACACAGCGGGTATACATGCCATAATATTAAATTTAACGTATACATTTATACGATAAGATTGTATATTAATAAGTTAATCACGAAAATATTTTACAGAAAGATGGTTTAAAATAAAAACGAACGGATTGCGAATATGATTTCCATATAATTATAATTCCCAGTATTTGCGTTTCTGAGATAAAGTAAAAAATAAAATATACGGGTTTAAAGAACTGCATACAAGTATATTATAATAGGGTGATTTTGAGGAAGAGTCTAAGTACATTAATAACGTAACCATGGCAATGATCAAATGATGCATAGTGCTGAAGATCTAACAAAATCTTTAAAGCAATAATATGTCCAATTTGAGTTCTATAAATTAATTTAGATTCATTTAAATATCTTCTAAATTATATTCAACTCGATTTAACAGTTTAGCATATACATATTTATATAGAGTGATTCATTATAACCATGATCAACCCATTTTTATGATTGAATTTTGCAAATAGATATTAAAATTCTGATTTTATGAATAAAAACCTAAATTAAAAATTAAAAAACTAGATGTAGTAATAGTTTAAATACATATTAGTGTAGGCACTTTTAATTTCTCACTACTTTTTAACGTGTTACGCCACTATTAAATTCGGGTAGAGGTAGACAAATAGAGCATTGTGAAAACGCCACTCGCCGTACTGTCACACAAAATATGTCTTTTAGACTGTTATTCTTAGATTATTAAAGAAGGATAATTCGGAAACTTTTCATTCAAATTTTGATTAAAATACGACAACATTTTCATAAAAATCATGTACTTTACAATTCGAAAAAAAAAAAATAGGTTCTCAATTGGAAAATCAAAGTTAATATCTTCATAGAATCATCCCTTAAATGTTGTAGAAAATCTAAGAATTCTAAAATATCGGCTTTAACTACACTTAAAGATTTGAAAAATCAGAATTTGAATGTATTATTCAAAATGTAATGTTAAAAAAGACAGATATACTTCATATGATGGATGGGCAACTATCGTAAGTGAGATATTGAGTAGGAAGATAGGATGTAGAAGGAAATTTAATTTATATCTGTACGTAAAGATAAACTATTGCTAATGAAAAACGATTCTTTGAAGCGAAGTTTTTTTTATACATGTATACCAATTTTCCCGACTTTCCTAAGATTTTAACATGCTTAATAAATCACCCCATATAAATATATTAATGTTTATGTATATATTTTATTTATTAAATTTTTAAAAAAATTTGATTTGGAGCGTAAAAATCTTGCCCTGATGTGTAAAATGCGCACATTTTTTGAAAGAAAATGTTCTCTAATTGATCTAGTTAGTTAGATTAATAAATTTATATAATTTTTATCTGTAAACAACGATAAACTATTGCCAAAGAAATATATGTTTTAAAATGTCGAAATATTTACAATTTCTGTCAAAGTTTTATGTTAAAATTCTTATAAAAAAATATTTCTGATAGAAAATATAAACCATACAAATTTTAAATTATTAATTCATAACGCCGTAAATTTATTAGTTTTCATTTTACGTCTTTTTTTTCGGTTTTTCCCAATTATTTGAAAAATTAAAAAATTATTACTTACTTGCCAACCATTAAAAATTCAACAAAAAATGTTTATATTCAGTTTTTGATTAAAACAATATTCTGGTAGAAAACATGGGAAGTATAAATTAAAACAAATGAAATCAGTAGGTAACCCCAACGTGTGACTTAAAATTTTTTTTTTTTATATAATTTTATTTCTGATTTTTCTCAATTATTTTGAAAACTTCTTAGAAAATCAAAAAATTACCTTTTTAATGCACCAACCAAATCCAAAATGCAACGTAAAAGTTCTCTTGTCATTTTTAAATTAGAACAATTTTTTCTGTCGTTAAGTTGTTTATAGACAAAAAAAAAAAATACACATAGTAAAACCTTTGATCCGAATTCAACTAGAAAAAAACGAATTCAAAGATGACTGCAACGCTGTAGTCAAGATACAGAAGAGGCAGCTGTATGAGTAATAGTATACTATACCTCTGACGCAATTCATACTCGTAGTATTTTATTTAATCCAGTGCTTTTTAACAATACAAACGTACAATTTACAAACGCACGTCTTAATTATCTTCTAAATCTTATCTTGTAAATCGAATTATAATATATTTCAACGAGTTATTTATTGTGACGGGAGTTTTTACTAAAAAATTTTTTTTCTACAACATTAAGAGCGTATTGTCAAAAATAAACCACGCTTCAAAACTTTTTCACTCGAATATTAATATTGAAATTATTTGAATTAAATGTGAATAATGTTGTGCAGTCGTACAAAATATCCATAGTTATATTATTATTACGGTTTCTGTTAAATTTTTTGTTGTGAATTTCTCTTCATATTTAGTTTCCAAAATTTTCTTGGAATTTATATCACGATTTTTGGATGAAAACAAAAATCGACAAAATTTAAAATAGTAAATATTTTTTAGTTTTTTTATACCTTTTTTCTCCATTTTTCTTTATTATTATAAAAATTATTTGGAAAATCAAAATATATGTTCACCAATGAACCTATGCAACAAAAAGGTATCTTGTCATTTTTTTGATTGGAACAAGATTTATAGCAAAAACTTTACTCACAGACAGAAAAAAAAAAACAAACATTTTTTTAAATCTAATAGGTAGGTAAACTCCCTACGCTTAAATCACGAGTGTATTTATAGGGAGAAAGGATGGCTAAATATTGGCTCCGGAATTTCCTAAAATTTTCGACTTCCCGTCCTAGTATAATAGAACAGAATACTAGAATAGTAAATATTTTTTTTATTTATGAACATGTATTTGTGTTTTCATACAATGTACAACAATAATCTGTACATTTTTATATTGCAAGCAATATTACAAGCATTTCCTATACTTATAATGAAACACTACGTGTTTTACTGTAATAAGAAAAGAATGGCAATTTACATTTTATATACTTATTATAAAAATATATAATTATTTTCATTACTGTAATTTTTTTTTTTATTTTGTTAAAAATATTAAAAACCTGTGGAACCTAATCTTTTTTTTTATATGATCCGTTAACTGTACATTTTATAAAACGTATATTGTTATACGTTCAGCTGGATGAAGCTTGATCAGAGGAACAAAAAATCTTTAGTAGCGTCAATCCGTGTTTCTGTAAGATTCTGTATGACGGTATATATATATATATACGAATAAGAAGACATTAAAGCTATTATTAATGGTATATCAAATGATATTTTAATATTTTGTGACTTATATGCCGTTATTACATTTTATATATCATCGAATTTCGGACCATTTTTATAGATGAAATTGTAGGGGAAACTTAATGTATATCTGTTATATGTTTATCAACGATTGCTAACGAAAAAACGATTCTGAGCGTAGTTAAGTTGATAGTGTTCTTTTATCATCAATATATGATGTATCATATTATGGTAAAATAATGATATAGGCATAATATATTTCCTCTAATAATATTTGTTTAATATTGTACCTATTTTCCCATTTTTCCTACGTTTTTCCCGGTTTCCCGTGTTTTTTCCCATTTATTAGGAAAACTTCTGGAAAAATCAAAAAAATGATCTGTATAAAGTACCCTAAAAAGTGTTATCATTGTAAATCGGAACAAGATATCTGGTAGAAAAGTTGTCCAGAGAAAAAAAATCTTTATAAAGAATCTTCACTCCACTAAGAGGAATATACACTTGAAAAAATAATATAAATATATATTATATATACATAGGTGATCAAAATAACTTAAATAATCATTATCTCGGTCAATATTAATTTTTGTCGTAATTTATTTTTTAAACATTCTAAGTAACAAGCAACTCTAAAATTTTACATTTCTTTTATTTATTTTTAAGAATAAAACAACTACCTAAAATTAATTTTAAAATTACAACTTATTTCTTAAATTCGATAAAAATAAGTTTTGGTAGGTTACAATATAATAGAGCATTATTTATGTTTCGGTGGACATGAGGTGTTTAAATATTAAAATGCTCGGTCAACGATTTGACAGAAATAAAAAATGTTCGAAATGTTATTTATCAAAATATTACTGTAGGTTGATTTTTAAAAATCAAAAGTTAGTTACGGTTTCGTCCTTAAAAATTTGCCGGACAAAAAATATTAATAATGAAACATTTTAGAGTGGTTCGTTTCTTACAAGTTACAATTTCTAAAAAACATATTCCGTTTTAGGTTATGTTGATCACTGTGTACATGTATACATTTTAAAATTCTAAGTGTGGCGAGAAATTTATTGATTTTGGCTATGATTTTGTTTTTGTTATAACTGGTGTATTAAGAAGGTAATTGAGTTGGTTTTTCTTGTGATTTCCTTATTAATAAGTAAAACATGCGAAATACCAGACAAATTTATGCAATAGATCTGTTATTTTCAAAAATGTTTTTATTTTTTTATTTGTCATTTCATTAAAAATAATTGTGAAGACCTCAAATGTTTTCTAAAGAATAGACGACCTTTTCAAGTGTGGACAATTTGCAAAACCATCTGGTAGTTTTAAGATTTTGTTTTTTGTGGATCAAATTTATTTGGCTTCTCAAATATTGTTGAAAATTGTATACCATAAGATTTATCATAGTAATTTATTCTTAACCGTTTAAGTTTAATTATTACTAAAAGTTGTAAAAATTACGATATTTCAAAATATTTTTAACCGAAGTTAGTTCAGAATCGTTTTTTGTTACGACTTATCGTTGTGTACAGATATAAATTAAAACACTGTATAAGCTCTACTGTCTAGGTCTACATTCTCAACTTCCAATCTACATCAGTGGCACACCTTTCTGATAAAAGGCGTGTGTCACCTTTTTTTTTAAATATTTTTTACTGCAAAAGAAATTATTTTAAAATAAAACAACAAACAAACGTGTTTATAATATTTTTAGATGATAAAAGTGCGTAGTATAACATATTTACTTCTCCTTTAAACTCTTTTTATTCATTTTATTCGTATAAAATAAAACTACAGTTACAGAAAACCGTAAAAAAAAATCTTTAACGGTTATTTTTGTTTTCTTACGAAACTATGTGACACATATTTATTTAGCGACGTATATATATAATAATGTTTTTCTCCCTGTGATAATTTGTACATAAACACATAATAAACAAATATTTATAAAATAAATTTATATCCAAGTATATAGATATACATATACCTATATATAATATAATAATATTATAGATTATATTACTCGATATCACTGTTTTAAAAAATATCGATAAGGTCCAAAATGTTTTGTGATGCATATAATAAATATACCCAAAACCACATAATATATATTTCCACGTCATTAAAACCCATTTGTTGGACCAAACCGAAATGGACAATATAATAGGAAACGGAAAGATGTCTGCAGTAATTTTATCAGATTAATATTTTATTCGCGGTTAACCTTTATAATTTGTATTTACGGTCGAACTGATTGCAGGTTGTTTAACAAAAAGGAAACATCGTTCACACAGAATCCAATAATCCTACAGTTAATTATTGTAGCAGACCTATAATCGGCACCGAATCTAGGGAGCACAAATCATTCCTTGAAGGTGCCTTAAGAAATATATTTTTTATAATTTTAAAGAAGGAGGGTACATTCTTATTAACAAAGACTTATTTTCTGTAGGAGATGAGGGAGGGGGAGGAGTAAAGTTTAGAAATAAAAAAGGACATCAAAAGTATGATATTGTGTTACATTTAAATAATTGGTAGATCTGACTATAGACATTAATAACAAACAAATTGTACGATTTATAATAATAGATTTCTATTAGCTTCAGAATTATTTAACTTAATGTATCCTCTGAATCTATCTGTACTTAAACTTCTATAAACTTCTAACATGGCCAATCCATTTAATTAATTTTAATTAACAAAATATTGAGCTATAAGGTACGTAATATTTGTGAAGTACTTATTCTAATCTTTAGATTCTAAGTGTAACGAAGAATATATTGGTTTTACAAAGATGTTTTTTTTTTTATTTTTCATGTGAACATTTTTTCTGCCAGAAAGCTTATTCCAATTTATATGATGGAAAATTTTTTCTGGAAGGAAATTTTCTTTGGATTCTTTAAGGAGGTAAGTTTTCAATTTTCTCAGGAGTTTTCTTAGTAAATGTAATATGTAGGAAAAAATCATTGGAAAACCGCGATAAACGTAGGAAAAATGAGAAAATTGGTACAATACTAAACAAATATTATTGAAGAAAATATATATTGCCTATTTAATTATTTACCATAATATTATATAATATATATTGTTGACAATGCATCACTATTAACTCCGCTCAGAATCGTTTCATCGTTAGCAATGGTTTATCCTTACTTACAGATATACATTAAATTCCTTTCTGTATTTTACCTTCCCAATTTCCCACCTACAATAGTGGCTGCACTCATCACCATTATCTTAAGACAGCTTTTTAATTATAAATATACCTCTGACGTCGTATTCCATACGTACAGTGGTGTAACCTTAAACAATATGATATATGTCATCATTTTGGTTTAAATTTAATAAAAACATTTAAATTTGTATTTATATTTTTATTGTATTCTAAATATAGTTGAAAATTCGTTTATACCAATACTAGAACTGACTAACCTTTACTATAAGTACCTATAAAAAAAAAGTCTTATAGAGAGGTTTTTACCCAGATTCCTTCGATATTTACGCCACTATGTGTAAGTATACACATTTTCATAGAAATGGAACAAAATTATATTTTTTGGGCATTATTTTTCATCAAACATTTATTTCTCATAATAAATATTACAGACTGTTATTATGTGTTTCCTAATTTGTTGTTTTTCGCGATATATTGATCTTTGTTGAACATACTATTTTTATTTTTTCTCAAGTCCTTAACCGTGCTATAACAATGTTTCTATTTACATTATTATATTTGACTTCAACACGTATTATAATATTATTTCCCAGCAGAGCAGTAGTTTCAACAATGTATCACAATACACACTTCAAAATATTCGTATTAAAATTGCATTGGTGTTTGTTTAAAAATAATTATCAAAATTGTAGATATATAAATATATAAAGCACTGTAAACTTTAGATAACGTAAATAATACCTGAATTATAATATCTTATAGGTACATACATGTACAGTTTATATATTGAAAAAGCAATTAACGTTATAAAGCTAGGTTTGTTTAAAAAGGTTGGAATAAAAATAGGAGGTATATTAATACCAATACTTCGTTCCAATGTTGATATTGTCGTTCTCACAACATTTGAAGACGACTTATAAATAGAATATTTTGTAATGAATATCACGTTCCAAGAATATAGTCTTAAAATGAATGTAGATAAGACTAAAACCCTAGTGTGCTACAAAAAAAATGTATCATCTCTAAACATAACATTAGAAAATAAAGTCATTTTCCAAGTAGACCAATTCAAGCACTTACGCAGCATTATAACGGACGATGAGAAATAAAGGAAATTTGAAGCAGAATTGGTCAAGAAGAAAATATATTTCTTAAAAAAAAATTATTTATATCAGAAAATATGAACATAATTAATAAGAAAATACACATTAAAATTACTCATTAAAGCTCAATTAAATTACGTCTGAAATATGGTATTATATGAAAGCGATAGGAGGACAATAAATAAAACAGACAGACATACTACACACGTGGGTGGACCACTGTTGGAAGTGAGAAATTGGGAAAATATTTGAAGGGAATTTTAATATATATATATATATCTATACACAACGATTAACTATTGCTAACGAAAAATCAATTATGAGCGGAGTTCGATTGATAGTATTACTTTATCAACAAATTTTTGACAACAATATATATGACCTATTATGGTGAAATAATTGCGTATGCATCAAACATTTTCTTTAACAAAAAAATGTTTGTTTAATATTGTACCAGTTTTCCTCATTTTCCTTCGTTTTTCTCGATTTTTCTTATTAATTATGAAAACTGCTGGGAAAATCGAAAAATTACCTCCTTAGAGTACCATCCCAATCAGATTTCTCTCCAGAAAAAGGGTATGAATGTAAATCGAAGAAAAATTTCTGGTAGAAAATTTATTCATACATAAAAAAAAAATTAACATCATCGTAAAACCAGTGCGTTCCTCGCTCTACTCAGAATGTAAAAGAGAAAAATATGTTAGAAGCTCTAAAAATGTGGTGTTGTAGAAAGATGCAAAAAATAAGTTGAACTGAAAAAAGAACAAATTAATATGTTTTACAGACAATCTAGATAAAAAATGAACATTGATAGATATAAGAGAAAAAGATGGCAAATTATAGGACACACGTTTAGGCATGTGATGAATTATTTCGTTTAATAAAAGGAACTTGATCAAGAGATAGACCTAGAACGAATGACATTAGTCAAATAATGATATAAATATGTGGAAGTCATTTGTTACAGAGAGCTCAAAGAAATGGCGAGATCATGGAGAAATCATTTGTTAAAAACCAATCTCCGGACTAAAAAACAAAAAATAATATATGTATATATATATTATAAAATAAAGTGCAGGGCCGGATAACGTACATTGGGCTCTTTAATCGAAAAACCCGTTTTCATAGATTTGTTTTGATACGGAGCGTAGTGAGAGACCTATTGGTTTTACTATTTGTATTTTTTTTGTCTGTCTGAACAACTTTGCTACAAAAAATCTTACTCCGATTATAAAAATAGCAACTTTTCTGAAAGGTAATTTTCTCTAATTGGTGCATTGAGAAGATATTTTTTTTTATTTTCTAAGTAGTGAAAATCAAAAATTTTCATAGCCAAAAATAGGTACCTAGAAAAAATATTTTAAAAATTGTATCATATACAAAAAATGGTCATATTAACATTTAGTAAAAATTTAAAATATCTGCGATCATTAATTTTTGAGTAACACCAAATCTTGTCAAAAAAAAGATGGTTTTACGTAACAATAACTATTTTTCCTTTATTATGAGTTTTTTTTTTTCTTTCCATAAACAACTTTTCGAAAGAAATCATGCTTCAATATTTAAAGTGTAGCACTGAAAAGTAATGTTTATTTGGTGCATTAAACAAATAAATTGTTAGTTTTCAGTGGTTTTCAAAATAATTGTGAAAAACCCGAAAGAAATTATAGGTAAAACGGCAAATATTTACGGCACGCCACGGCATTACGGGTTTAATAATTTTAATTTTAGTAACTTATGTTGTCTACCAGTAATATTGCTTTATTCGAAAAATAACAAAGAACTTTTTTATTGCCTTTTTAATCTAGTTTGTGAGTAGGATTATGATTTTTTGATTTTTTCGGTAGTTTTTAAAATAATTAGAAAAATCAGAAACAAACGTAAAATGAAAACTGACAAATTTACGACATTACGATTTCATTATTTTAAATTTGTACTCTTTTTTTTTCCCTCCAGAAATATTGTTCCAATAAAAAAATAACAAGAAAACTATTTGTTAAATCTTTAACCTTGTTGGTAGGTAAAAAAATTGGTTTTTGATTTCCTTAGTAGTTTTTTTAAAAAATTGAGTAAAACAAAAATAAAACGTAGAAAGTACAGGCAAATTTACGAAAATAGTTCTTTTATTATTTTAAATTGTTTTTTTAATGTTATTCAGTTAAAAATATTCGTAGAAACTTGAAATTTTGGCAGAAAATGTATATTTATTTTTTCTATAGCTATTTATAAGCATTTTATTTGTGAAATTTTTACGTAATTTTTATTTGGTCAGTGGATAAAATTGTTAGACTAAACTGAAATGCTTGAAAAAAAGACAGGAACCTAAAAAAAAAATAACTCATGTAATTTTTTTTATATATAGATATAAGAGTTTTAAAAAAAATTTTGACAAAAATTGTAAATATTACGACCTTTCAAAATATTTATAAATAAACTTCGCTCCAAATCGTTTTTCGTTATTTACGTTTTTTTTTTTTTTTTTTTTTTTTTTTAACTATATTTATTATTCTTACCGTGTAAATTTTAATATTGACAGCACAGTAAATAATATTATATATTGATCCAAGGTACTAGAGTGGTTTCAAAAAATAAAATAGATGGACTGAGGGAACGAATTTCCGAAAGTAAATGTGAATGTATAATATTAGTTTTTTGAACAGTAAAAAAGTAAAAAAATTCATTACCTCTTTTCATAAAACAAAAATCTTACAATTATTACCCACATATTGAGTAAATACTAATTTTATTTATATTCAAATCACACGGGAAATGTGAAATATAAAAAAAAAAAAAATACTTATGAAAAACATCGTAATTTTAGTAAAACATTTAGCACCCGTGAATAATATTTAAAAACTGTACGATCATTTACAATATTATTATATTATTTTATTTTCGATTCGTGTTGTATACCTTTACAATTTTATACCTTTTTACGTCTTTACGAGTCGTATGTTTTCTGAAAAACGCTATCATTATTTTCTACTGATGACTAGATATAGAATATTATCTATGTTACACAGTGGCGTATTTATGGTAGAAAGTCGGAGAGATATAGCTCCGCTTTGATCGTTTTTTAGTTTCTATATATTATTCATTCGACTGCCTATTTTCAAATTAATTTTTTTTGTATATTGACGTCGGAAAAATAAACAATTTAATGTATTTATATACCTACAAATAATAACCTGAGCGTATAAATTTGCTTATACATGACCAAACCTATATCCTAACCACTACAATATGAAGGGTAGGTTATATTGGGTACCTACATATAAATTGTATTTACTTAGGTATAGTTAGTTATTTGATAATTCTAGGGCAAATTGGATTATAAATTGTTACTTACAAGAATACATTATAAAGTCAAAATAATTGAAATGGTTCTTTTTTTTTTAGAAAAAAAAAGGGGTACACGACGTTCTACAACATGAAACAATTTCCAAATTCAATAGCTCCCTCCTTGGAAAAATCCTAAATACACCACTGGTATAATGTTAATTTAAATGTACAAAACTTCAGTACATCACATATTATCTAAGTATATTTATGTACATAATATATAGAACACTTACCGGACTCGGACTGTATACGCCTGCTTGGTCGACGGACGTTTGATTTTTTTTCACTGTCACGTTTTTATATTTTAAGAACTGTTATAATGTGATGTGATTTTATTTTTTCGATTTTCAACGTTTCGAAACGTACGTTCGACGGATGGGTCGGCGAGCAGAATGAAGCCGCCGACAAAGATGCGCCGCAATATGTACGGGCGGCAAAAGTGGTCGCCGCCGCCACCGTCGCACGCGTGTTCGGGCGACGATTGTCGTACGCCCCTTGACGAACCACCCGGAAGTTTTTTCGCGCAACCTGTTGGTTAGCTGGTCTCTTGTCTTATTGACGTAATACATAAATAAAATGAAATAATAAGGTAATGTGTAAATTAATGAAACAAAATCTACCCTAATAATACGTTAACCAATAAATATAGTTAAATTAAAAAATTAACAAATACAGAAATTACTATAGGTAGTTAAAAAGATGTAAATATTTAACTTGTCAGATTTAAATGTACGCTAGTTTGTACTTTAGTTAAAATGCAAATAAAAATGTTAGCTAACTTAACTAAAAGGTTAGTTAAAAATTGTTTTTTTTTTTTACATATTTTACATATTAGTACAATGAAAATGATATAGGCTTATACTAGTCATACTAATTTAATTAATTGGTTAACAACAGAGTTAAATTTTTTATTTAATTTAGTTCAGTGTTATACAATATTTCTGTAAATCATGATTTCTTGGATGTTTATACCTACTATGGAGCGGACTGGGCCAAAATTTTGACCCCAAAAATACTTAATATGATCATAAAAATTATCAAAAACTAAAACGTAAAACTATACTGTAGTACAAGTAATTGGAAATAATAACATAATATAAAACAGTGTTGTTGTCCTATAGATAATAATAAAATCCACTATAATGTATATAATGTATAAAAATTACAACAATATAAAAAATCGAATATTTCATCGGAACTAATTTAGTTAGTGTACCCTATTCATACCACGGCTAAATTTGTATAAATATTAAATAGATTTTCATGGTTTTTTCACCAAAAATTGAAATGTTGTATTAAAATCGCAGAAGTATTCACAACGAAGCAACAGTGACAGGCCATTAGGCGTCCGTACATCCACTTTCTGAATTCTTGATATCAATAATTTTTGAATTTCGAAAAATATGCGTAGTACCTATGTTATTTTGACCATATTTACAGGGTGCAAAAAGCAACTATACATCATCTTCCTCCTCTCAGAATTTAAAATTTCTATTTGACGTTTAATGATTATTATTCTCAATATAGACACGCACAAATGTGATGCCATTTTAAAATACAATAATACAAGCCGGGAATTTTCCCGGTATCTCATCATTGGCACAGTACGCCCCCGGATCCCCGGGTTCGAATCAAAAAAAAATTATTTTGTTTAACGTTTGACAGTTTGAACTTTATTTATTTTATTGAGTGTATTTCTGGTAGAGAAGTTGTTCACAGAAAAAAATTTGTTTTTTTAAATGAACATCATGGTAAAACCAATACATCCCTCATTCCACTCAGAATCTAAAATTCTCTGATGTCTCTACATTCTAGACAATAATAAGTTGTTAGATCCCTAACAACTTGGTCATGCACTTTTACCAGGGCCTAAAATAATGTGTCCCTTGACACGAAGTATGTTCTCTGAACTACAGTGTACCAAATTTAATATTGTGTATATTAGTTTTTATTTTGAAATATTTTTAAAGATGATAACAATCAATTAATGTGATCATTCTAACCAATACATGGTATTAATTTTGAACTGTTTTTAGTACACACTTATTAGGTTTAAATAGCATAAATAATTTGTAAGGTAAGTAGTGACAGTAGCGTATAAAGAGCCCTGCCACAGGTTTTTTTTTTTTGACTATACAAATCTATTAACTCTATCAATTGAACTAAAAAGTGTATCTCCTGAAAGCTGATGTATTTTAGGCCCTGAATTTTACAGTACATGACATTTTGTGTACGTTAAAGTTAATCATACAATAAAATACTGTTTTCTTTTTAGATCGTTCATGCAACCCGGCATTGATATTGTAAATTATTGTAATATTATATTATTAAATTATTAAATTATTTCCAAATATGTTTTTAAGTTGTTTTATATTCAACTCCTGAGTTTCAATTAAGAATAAAGAATAATATAGGATAAGATAAATATCGGACGAAAACTCTCTTGACCTGCAACCTCAAGGTTAGATAGCGGCTGAAAACTACACACGGTGCTGCAGATGGTATAATATAAGGCGATTTTTGGAACATCACAGTATGAAATGCAATTGAAACGGTTGGCAGAAATTCGCAATATACCGACGTCCTAATTGTTTTTGAAAGCAATAATAAAATCTTAAATCGCGTTCCTCTATTTCTATTTGTGGCTACTTACTCGACACAGTTTACTTATGTCGATCTTTTGAAGCGTATTTCCGCTTTTGGATATTGAGCAGACCGTGAAAACTAATAGTTCCATAATATTAATGTTTTTTTTTTTTTTTTTTTTGGTTTTCCTGGTCAATGAAAAAATTTCCATCTCCACGATTTTCACATTTGAAGTCACGATCGAATTTTTAGTTCCACCTAAAAAAATATTTTGTAAATAACTGATTTGTTGGAAAATAATAATATCAGACTATATTCAAAATATCATAAATAAGTGATATTTCAGTTTTAATACATAATGATGTTTAATTTATAATTTCCGTCAATCCGTTGACAAGATATACTACTTGTTACTTTGGGTAGGGGGAAAGTATTGAAGCATCATATTATGTTTAGCGGTGAGGTACGTTTGGGTATTCCACTACTTACCCCTACATAAAATTAAAAGTCAAATGTCTCGAAATGGTATTTGAAAAAACCTATAGTACATTATAATTTCCTATGCTTTATAAAATACGCATTACAGGTACGACATTTTTTGCATAATGATTACATCGATCATCAAAATCCAAATAGAATGAAATTTATTTTATTCTCTAAAATTGTCGAAGTGCTACACGTTAATAACATAATGGAATATTTAAAAACTACGAGTAGGAACGAATTATGTATTTTTTTTTATTATTATTATTCAAGTGGATGTTTTTAATGTATAATTAAATCACTTTATTAAACATGTTTTTTTTCTAATCAAAATTTTACCAGCTATAGTATGTAACGAACAAAATTAATATATTTGAATTAGTCAATTTTTTGGGGTTTACACTTAAGTTTTGAACAAACAATAATTGCATTTCTTTTATTTTTCAATTTCTAATTTCCGTCTTTGTTACATGAATCTAATAATATAATAGAAAGAAAACGTTTTTATTATATACGCGCAGTAAGGAGACACAGTTGTTATTATTTTTAATTTGGTTGTCACGGCCAACACTGTACGGGGCGCCGCATTTAATGTAATAAAAAAATCCTTTTTTGTATTTTTTTTTTGTCCTGGATAATCGCCGAAACTACACATAATATATAGTAATAAGATTTATTATATGCGGTTTTTCGTTATATTTTTATAACCTACATATTTCAAGAAAATACACTATTATAATTATTTGTATTTCAGATTCTGAGCAAAGCGAGGAATGTAATGGTTTTTTTTACAATGATGTTATTTTTTATTTTTTTTCTGTGATCAACTTTTCTACCAGCTAATTATACTTCGATTTTCAATGATAGCACTTTTTCTGAAAGGAAATCTGGCTCCAGTAGCACTTTAAAGAGGTCATTTTTTGATTTTTCCAGCTGTTTTCATAAAAAATGGGAAACACTGGAAAATGTAGGAAAAACGGGAAATTAGGTACAATATTAAACAAATATTATTAAAGAAAATATATAATGCATATGTAATTATTTTACCCTAATATGACATACACATTGTTGATACTATTAAACTCAGAATCGTTTTTCGTTGACAATAGCCAATCGTTGGTGCTATGCATAGTAAATTAAAATTGTAATTGTATAGGAAGATAATATAATATCATTGATTACCATACTTACCGCCTATCTAAATTTAAAAAAAATCAAAAATTTTAACATCAAAATTGATTTAATCTATTTATAGAATTTTCGATATAGGTTCTTATTTGATAAACCAAAGTTATTATAACCACAGGATACTCCTTAAATATTGTGAAATATCTAAGTATTCGATAATATCGGCTTTAACTACACTTAATAATTCCAAAACTCAGAATTTGACTATATGCAAAATTTAACCAAAAAAAATGGTGTGTGTACGCTTAGTGATCACCCTGTATACCTTACGTTATAAGATACTGTGGTATAAGGACAAGCAATATTCTACAGTATTATCAAATCATATATCTGATCAAGCTATATATACAACTATACAAGTACCTATAAGTCAAGTGCACATCGTGTTTACTTTGTTGTGCCCAGTAAAATATATTCGACCCAGTCGATAATATTTTTCAGAATGTAACAGTAAATATTATATAAGAGTGATGTGTTTTGATTTAGCGTTTTTCGCACGTCGAAAAAAATAAATCCACCTCCTTCCCTACCGTAAACGCACTATGGCGCATCGGACTGCAGTGTATTTTTATTTATTTTTTTCTGCCTGTAAACAAGGACCCGACCGGAATACTTGATCAAATCGAAAACGCCCGCAAGTTTTTATTATTTCTTGAACAAAATAATAAAATAACATCAATCAATTCACGAATTTGTCCATAACAATTGATTTCGTTAATGATTTTTGTAAACTTTAAAAAATTAGAAACTTAACGATTTATCATTAGTAAATATTTGTAACGCCAACACTTTACTTCAAATATTTTTGTAAAATCTAATATCTAATAGTATTATTTGTTTTAAATAAATACAAAATATAAAAATCATATCACAAGTCTTTAGTAACTACGTTATAACAAAAAACAAAAAAAACTTAAAAATATTATCAATAACAAAAGTTATTACATATTTTGTCAGGTCTCTGTGCGACAGATATTGGAAAGTTGGGAAGATTTAAAATATACAATACTATACCCAATTATGTCGAAATTAATGAAATCATGAACAAATTGTTTGTGAGTGCACGCGACTTTAACATTTTTTTTTTCATTTTTTATTACGGTTTCTTTTTAAGAAAATCATGTTTTAAAATTA